ACAAGCTCGCCATAATGGCTTCACCAGTCTGGCAGTATTTTAAGGTGTCCTAAAATGACAATAAAATAGCGGTATGCAACGTGTGTGAAGCAGATATCCTGCAGCTCCACCCGCTGTGACGGACCGGGGAGCGGAGCGAAACACACACTAAGAGTTAGACCTAACACACTTAGCTATTTTATCTACCTCTGGAACAAGCTAAACTAGTTATACATATATTTATTCTTCACTGTCGAGTAACTCATTACTGGATCAGCGAGCTGCATGAGACGATACTGACAGGCTGTCAGGAGAGAGAAAGAGAGGAGAGAGAAAAAGAGAGTGCTTCCGCTCATTTCTCTGTGTTATTCTCCAAAGTTAATGTAAACTTGAATAATGTACTTCATTTGAATGTAATAATTATGTTGGTAGTTGTTTGTTGAAGCGCCAGTGAATGAACCCCATTAACTGAGTTTTAAACATCACTTTAAATGGAAGATCCCCATAGGCCCCACCCACTCGATCGGTATCGGCCGATACTGATTCTGATACCGATACTGAGGATCCTTAGTTTAGAGGTTTTACAGTCTCCAAGAAAATAATTAGTTCAATCCTCCTGATATTCATGGACACCATCTCTGTAGTAAAGAGTGTACACACAATGTAACATATCTTCCTTTGACAAAGGGCAGGGATTTAGCCGACTAATATCACTACAGGGCCAAAGAGGAGGGATAAACACTCAAATACTGCTGCTTTTAAAGACAAATGAATTCAATTTCCTCACCTACTCACTACAATTGAACATGTTCCACTTCTTCAACAAATAAACATGACGGCTTTTTACTTTTAATTTATGAAGTAAAACAGAATTAACAGATTTTAAGACATTTAATTGATTAGTCGATTAATAAAATAATCAACCTGCAAGTATTTTAATAATCAACAAATCATTTTAAACCTGTTTCAAAATATTTTCTAGTTCCAGTAAGATTTTCTGCTTTTTCTCCACAATGAATCAAAGTTATAGAATAAATGTGGCTTTCAGACTGAAATCTTTGTTTCAGACATTTGACAAATCTTCCCTAGGGCTTTCAGAAATATCAATGTTTTTTTTTTTTATGACAATTGGTTTGCCAAGGAAATAATCTGGGGAAAAAAGATAATCAAATAAAACCAGCACATAACCGCAGGTAACATCCCTAATACAGAGGCAGAGCAGAAAGAGTGATACGTTCTGGTCCAGCTCACACTGCTTCTAACAAACAGTTTTACAGTAAATCTCAGAGGAAGGATTCTCCCACTTCTTTCTCTCAGCTCACATTTCCTTAGCAATGTGCTGCTGATAAAAATAGACGTCTCCCCCCCCCCCAAGGTGCAGTAGCATGGACACAGGTGATAACAACACCCCTTTCCCTGAGTCGGCACACGCCCGCTGGGAGGAAGCAGGCCACCCGTAGGAAGAGCCATCTGGAGCTATGTTGTTGTTTTAAGCATCTCGCAAGCCATTGTTCTGATGTAGCTCCAAAACCAACAGCCCTGTTCGTATTAAATCCAATCTTTGAAGTGCCTCGCCACCATAAACATGAGTCTGTCTGTTCAATTGGAAGAGCTGCCGCCTGGAAATATTCTGCAGCGAAGTGTAAAACGTCCCGCAGTGAGGAACGGGAGGTGTGAAAGGTGAGACAGCGAGGTATGGGGAAATGGGGAAAGGTGGAAGAGGGGGAGGTAATAGGATTAAAGGGGAAGAGAGCAAAACAGATAGGGAAAATAGAAGAGTGTGATTATAGGAAAGAGACAGAAATGCTGTTCATAAGAGACACAGTAAGAGAGGAAGAAACTAATGGGAGAGCAAAGGGACCTCATGGAAAGAGAAATAGAAAGTGTGTTACAGAGCAGCCACTGTTCAGATCAAAACTCAATTAAAAAAAAGCTATTGCACCCACTTCTTGTGCCTTTGGGCAACCTAAAGTGTATTCCTAATGAGACCCATGTAGACCCAGGATAAAGAACAAGGCCACATACACAGCATGAAGTCATCTGAAATATAACATCTGTAAGTCCATTTGATTTATAGACCAAAGTCACATATATCTCAGAGGGCTTCTCAGCGCAAGAGACTTTCAACAGACGGCACCATACTAAAAAGACAGATGCCGCTTTAGTAGAAATACAGTGTGAAGAAGAAGCATAAAAGACTTGCAATCTTTCATAAATCAAAAATACATGTTCTATACTGTTTTGCAACACCCATTCAATGTATTCTCTACAGGAGTTTGTATTGTGAGTTGCTGAGTCTGAAATATCTGTTTACGGTTCACTCTCCTCCTGCGGTATCAACGCTGCTTCAGGTAACTGATAATGCTAACCGAGTGCTTCCTGTTAAGCTTTATTTTTAGCAGCCACAGGAACCACAATGCATTTGTCACAGAGGTTAGTACATACAGGAGAACACTGAACAAACACTAGTGTGATAAGTTCAACAGCTCCAGGTTCATGTATCGGGAAAAGGTTAAGGGATTTAATTAACTTGGATTATTTATAATGGATTTTCACTATGTGTTTTCTCAGGGGAATTTCTACAAACCGTTTTCGCCTAGATTCCAGGAAATGAAAATTGAGTCTGTAAACAAAATGATATTGATGAATTGTCAAAGGAGCTTTCTTTTATATAAACCACTACGGTTTATATTCAACTTTCTCTTTGGCTGAACCAGCATTCAATGAAAATCATCAAGATGTGGTGTTATGATGTTATGAACAAAACTGCCATTTTAATTATTCACCCACCTGATTTGTTCTTAAGGGGGAAAAATAACTATAGTGAGTTACGATGTCTGACATTTCATTTCATTTTGTGCAGAGGCAAAATTTATTATTTTCTACAGAATTGAATGACCCTGAACGTCTGCTGAACATGCTGCATACAAAGTGTTTAGTGTTTCTTATACGCTTGTTCACAGAGAAGTTAGTTTCTGAATATAAATCAAATATTCAATCAGAATCCTTTCAAATCCCTCAGATTGTTATTATCTTTCTACACTTTCAAGTATCTAAATGCTAAGAGCAGATGAACACAGTTTAGATCAACCTTTTCAAATAAGCCACTCACTGTCTAACTTTCCAAAAGGTCCAAGACTGAAATAACACATACATATATTATTTACAACTTAAATAGTGTGCCGGAGGTTATTTGCAAGTTACGTAAGGATTAGAAAACACATTTAAAAATGTCACCTTGTGTTGGCTGATAAGGAAGAAGCTCATTAACTTTAAAAAAAAAAAAAAGCCCAATTCACCATCGACCACCTGTGACCTACAATTTGAAAATGTAATGAAATTAAAATAAAATGAGGAAAAAATAGTCACTGAAAAGGCACCCTTTTTTAAACTTAAAAAACAACAATCGTTCCATGTTTTAGCCGTGACCAAATTAACAATTCTAAACTGATCCTTGGACTATATTGTTAATATCTACTCAATACTAATATTATTTCACCTCAGTAACTGGTGATTAAGACCCATTCGTACCACTTTGAGAAGCAGGGAACAACATCAAACAGAACAAATAATCACACATTTGAGCCTTTGAATTAAATCCAGCATGAAAACACATGGCTGCTGATGGATCTTCTGGTCAGTGTCAACTTTAGAATGTGTTTTCTGGATTGCTTCAATGTAGAATGCTGTGATGCAAGCCCCCAGAAAGACGAGAATCTCTGCAGTTTAATTTGTTTCCATATTCATAATGTGTGATGTATGCTGGGATTTAGTCAGACAACAAATGAACTCCAGAACTCCAGGGGGGGATGCTGATGACGTCAGCAGCAGAGCAGCGTAGTGGGTCGGAGGGCGAGAGGCTAACCAGGTAAACAATTCCTCTCCAGAGGTAACACACACACACTTGAAGTGTGTTAACCATCTGACATATTCACACAGAGGGTCTTTGTCTTCTCATTACTGTCATTATGTAAAAAGTGGCAAGGCAAGAACACTGTTGTGATTTAATGAGTATGTAGGGGCATCTTTTACTAAAGAGAACGGCTTGAGGGTTGGAGAGAGCTCATTATTTCTAGAAGATGCAAGAATGGTCCACAAAAGACGCAAGGTTGTGCACAAGGCAAATTAAGCTTACATTACATAGGGCGTAAAATACATTAAAGGTTTAAAAGACCATGAGAAGGATAACAATAATAATCATTTAAGGTAAGGCAAACAAAAGACAAAAGAGTTCATTATCAGAGATTGCCTAAAATGTTAGGTAAAGTAAAGCACTTTTTAGCCATGGGTCCACCACTTTAGTGCAGACTGGAATATCTCAACAGATATGGTGGATGTCTGATGGATGAATATGATAGATTGGGATTCAATTTTGGAGAAACATTAATCACGGATGACTCTTACTTGCTTAAGAGACCCCCAGACTGTCCTTTAGCACGCTCATGAGGTTACACGTAAGCTTTTCAGTGAAATTATGTAGCTGTTGAATATGGTATCCACATTTATGTTCCCGTCAGGATGAATTGTAATATCCTTGTTGAGCACATAAAATTCATCTAGTCTATCAGATACTTTTTAAACTACTGTTAAGTTCAATGATGTTCTTGTGTAACTTCAGAACGGCCTATATCCTGCTAATAAAGAGGGTTGGGAGGAGACAATGGGGAATATATAACTGAAGATAATCTGTTGCTCGATAGAGACTGAATCTCACATGCAGTCAAATACACCCTCGTAAAAATCTGGCGTATGAAGAAAGTATAAGTATGAAGCTGTGTACAACAACAAAAAAACACCTTATTGGGAGGAGCAAACGTGGAGGAAGGACTCGGGTGTCTCTGTTGAGTTTGTTTACATCATTTCAAATCCTCAGAGAGAACTGCGAGAACAAAAGCAAAACAATCGTCGTCCTACAAACACGCTTTTCTATCCAAGCAGGTGTTAGTCCCTCCCCGGACGACATGTCATTCCTCCGTGAGTTGTTGTTTAATGGTGCAATAAGCATTTATGTTAGCTCATTTCAACACATTGGGAAGGTTGTTAAGTTAATATCCTTCACAGTATTTTCCCACAATGTTTAAAACACTTGTCTGGGAGAACATCCCGAGTCAGAGTCACAACACCCCTGTGAGTTGTGAATGCCTAACTTCCGCCAAGGTAAGTCATGCAATGTGCTGCCTCGGCACACATTACAAGCGGCACTCGATGAAGCAGAAATGTTGCTTGAATAACATTTACTAAAGAAAGATCGTGTGAATTCACACTTATAGCTGTTTTTTAAATCACCTGTTCTGGAAGGTGTGGAGCCCGGCGGGGACGCACTGGACCCTCCACTGTCCATTCTGGTCGGAGAAAAGGACAAACTTGATGGGCGACTCCACCTTCAGGTCCTTCTCCAGGGAAAACAGATGCTCCTTCCACGGACATCCGCCCTGAGAGAACAACACCACCTCCCCACTAGGATCCACCTGGTAAAAAGAGGAGACACAGAAAAGAGTGTGTTAAATAAAGGACAAAAGCAGCAACAACTTTTCTGTAATTTAGGGTGCTTTAGAGAACATTTGCTTAAACTTTACAGTTTTATAATATAAAGTTTCTCAACATAACTAGAATATAAGCCAGAATAGAGTTTTTAGTCCTTAACATTGAAAACATAATTTGCCCTGGAAATGTGAACTGAAAGTCTGACTTCCAGAAAAACACAAGATATACCAGCCTCTCACTGTTATATAAATATTCAGATTGTCCCTGAAAAAAATGTGTTGAAACAATTATTGTCCAGAAAAAAGATTTTTCTTTTTTAAGTGGGTTCAAATACAAGTTTGTCCACATCATCTATGTATATCTGGTTCCATGCTAACCTACAATTTCACCATGTATTTCCCAATTCAGAGAAACAGAGTGAGAGTTAAGGTGACGAGAACAATAAGCAATCAATCTTGACAGTGTCAGAAATGTCTTTTTCTGGAGTCCAAGTGCAAAGTAACAAAGTTCACAAAGGATGAAAAACATCAGACTGGACAGGCTCGTACCTGATGCCTGGCCTTCACAGCCTCCTCCACCACGGCACGAGCCGGCAGCCAGGAGGACTGATAGAACTCCAGACGGTCCAGGAACTCCTCTCCCACCATCTTCATAGCCTTCCTGAAACCCTCCTGGGGAAGACATGTGTAGACATACATGCATTCAAATCAGTGGAATGATGTGAGAGCAAAATCTTGTTCGAAAGACTGACTCAAATGTGGGTTTCACTTTAAAATGCTCCTGGTCTCTTTTTTAGTTCCAGATCATAAATGTATCACTTATGAGCATTCAGACCCAAATACTTGCTATCACAAACACATGCATACAAATCTAACAGTAGGGATATTCTGTGGTATCTCTGAATTTGAATGGTTGTGGATTTACAAGGTGAAAATCTATGTTTTCAATTAAAAGACACTTTTGAGAAATCACCTGGTCGGTCTATATTCAAGTCGTCTGACTAAATAATATTTGTTGTCGTGCCTCAGAGACTGAGTTGGTAGGGGTGCCGGGAGTAGAAACATAATCATGTGAACTGAAATGTGAAAGAACCAAAACAAACAGGCCAGCCTCTCCACTGAGACAACCCCAACGATGGAAATAAATTGTTCAGCATATATGCAAAGCCAGGCTTATCATGCAGAGAAACAGGTAGCGTTTCCCCACAGGCATTCCCCTCCTGCACTAATGAGACAGAAACCCCCCAGGCCATTTGTGTGAGACTACGTTGTTTCTGCACAGATCTGGAAATGACCTCCGAACACCGATTGCAGAGCATTGCACCTGTTCTGTTCACCACAACATAGTTCTAGTATTTTAGTTTTACTGCAGGCTGTCCATTTCGTGTGATTGTCATTTAATAATGTAGCCAAAAGCCAACAAAATGGAGGTCATGGAGTTCAGTACCGGGATGATTGAGTCATCAGCTACAAGGGCTCAATCGATGAGGCAATGCAATTATTATTCAATTGAATGAAAGATGTATTAGAAACTACTTTGATAAGTTCATGATTGTATTTTATCAAGCAAAAATGCTAAATATACCCAGTCCGGACCAGAGATATGGATGGAGAGGTTTTTTTTGTTAAAACAATCGTTTGGGGAAACAATCTGCATGTAATTTGTTTTCCAATTTCACATTATTCCTTGGATTCAGTGCAACATGTAGCTTGACTAATGGAAAATTGTGTGTATAGCACTGTTATGCTGTGTTTCTTGTGTGTTTTTACTACAACAGATATAGTCATTTACCCACAGTAGTTCCCAAAGTGTCTATGAGTCATGCTGTAGAAACCCAGGCAATTAAAAAATAACAGATACAAACCCACGCATAATCTGTGACCTTTGGTTTAAAAGATGTATAATAACGTGTGTCATGAGAACGGCACTCGTCAGCCCTTCACCTCTGTGTCTTGACTCTTGCTATTCCAGTGTGGGTTCAGGTGGCCGACGCGTGCGCTCAGCGTGGTGGAGACCGCGTACAGGGCCTCCCCGTCATATTGTGAAATACCGTTGTCAATAGCATCCACCTCCTCCACAAAGTTCTCATACAGCTGCGAGGAATTGAAAGAGACACACGACAGAAGAGGTTAGGATTCTGTCACGAGCGAATGCTGCATGGCAACAACATGGGAATCTGATGTTTTATGTTCATGCTAACTTTCAAAAACCAAAGAGCAAATCCCTTTTTAAAGCCAGGGAAGTTATGAAAGGACTTTCAGGAGAGAGTTTACATTATTCTGATTGAAATCAATTTGGTCAGTGTGTGGGCAGTTACTGAGGCCTAGAGCGCACAGTTTGGACATAAAACCAAAATGAAAAGCCAAATTGCTGCTATTAGAAAGTCCATTGACAAAGCGAGAGAAGAAGTAACAACGAAGCAGAGACATATTGAGGTTGGAAAAGTCAACTTGTTGGTACATTGGAAGGTTAATCACCAAACAGTTGACATTTTAAAAGTGGCTTACAAGTGGAACTAAGTTTTGGGTCAAAGATAGAGATTTTGGCTGAGGATGATAGAAGCAAAATCCTAAAAATAATTAAAGCCACTGCTGTGAGTAAAAGGATTATTTGGGGCTTAAAAACCAACTGACACATCAAAAGGCCGATGATAAAAGGAGTTAATAGAGCTAAAAGTCATGGTTGACCTAAGATTTGGCTAGCTTAATGTATCATTTAATATTCACTGTGCTAAAATCCTGCTTGAATCTGTCAGAATCTGAAACATCCCTGTCACACTCTATTTATAAATCACAATCTACTGACAACTGTAGAATTGAAGGCAAAACGTCATAAACTAAACAATAAACATTATGCATGGTGTAGTCCACAGTGACTGCATGGTTTATGATTTTAACACAACCAACAAGGACAACATGAACAAAGACAATAATTCACACATTTTAACATAGTAACTAATAATCTAGCTTTCTTCTCATTGATTAGATGTTTCTGTTCTTCCGTCCTCCAACTGTTTTTAAAATTAACGGTGTTGGAGCTCAATCCATGTGTTTTGGAAATGAGTGAGACGAAGAAAAAAAATCAGTTTTTAAAAGGTCCCATATTATACTGTTTTCCATCATTATATTATAGTTCTCAGATATATACAAAACATGTCTCTGAAGTGTTTGACTCAAAATACCAAACAGATCATTGCAGCATCCCATAATGCCCTCTGTTTCAAAAGTGCTGATTCTCTGTCTGTTACTTTAGATGAAAATAAGGAGCCACTCCCCACGCCCCTCTGAGAGATATTTGGTTAAAAAAAACACAATGGTGCTCTAGGAGGAGATTCAGGTGATAAGGTGGGGGGGGATACCTTGCTTGGTGATTGGCTAATAGTTACACAAGCCAACAAATCGTTATGACATCACAAAGTGGCCAAAATCTGATCAGCTCATTTTCAGACAGGTTTTTATATAAATGGATCAGGGGAAAAAATTAAGAGAATCTTTTTTCCTGAATCTTTCAGAATCTCTTTACACAGAGGGGACACATGGTGATGTATAAAAGACATGAAAAAGTGGATTTTGCATAATAGGTGACCTTTAAATGGAGCATTGTGCTGTGAATAAAACTCAAGAGGTTACTAATCCACCACCTGCTTTGAATCCCCCCTCTCACCTTGTCAAAGAGCACGTCCAGCTGCCTGTCGCCCTCCTTCAGCTGCGTCAGATGGGTCAGCAGCTGACGGCCGAAGTGCAGGTAGACCAGGCCTGCTGAGCTCAGCTTGGTCACCCACGGCTTCTCCGGACGCAGGCTGTGGAAGCTGTCTGCAAAGGTCCTGAAGATAGAGAGAGACACTATGTGAACCCACTGCAGCTGGAAGAGAGATGGCCTTTAGACGCTAAGACAATATTAATTTCACAGTAGGTGACAAAAGGTCATTATAAAAATAATGCCAATAGCAGTACAGTACACAAACAGATGCCCTATGTGTCAGCAAATGCTGTTAAGTGCCCCGATAAACATTCCTGTTTGTCATCTTGCAATCTACTCATTTATATAAATAGTTATCACAGCAATAAACCATATTTAATTTGGTCTTAATGTACATTGTTTAATTTCATATTCTGTTCTTGTACATATCACATTCTATTATATAGACTTTTTGCACTATTTTTTATTTTATTATATATCAGGGTATATGCAGGAATCCTGAAGTCAAATGTAATACCTTTTAAGACCTTTTTTAAGACCCTTTCCATACATTTTAAGACCTCATCGCAACTTCAAGTTCTAACCGGTTACATTGGCAACACACTTTACCTCACATTGACTATATTGATTGTAAGATAGCACAACTAAACAGAGTGCAGACAGACTACTGAAGCCTCCTTTCCACATGAACTTCAACCTCTCTGTGAAGGTCAGGTTTAATGCAGTATGCTGCTGGATACCCACGACAGGATTTAGCGCCTCCACCCAGTGGTGTCTGGTACAGACTGCCCCGACCCCCCCTATATGCTTCCGCAGCTGGACACTCCCAGAGGACCTGATCTGTGGAGGGTTGCCAGTGGTATTTAAATAGACCTCGAAAACGCCACAGGAGTGGGATTTTGCGAAAGACGGAAAAGAGTCTTCCTGTAGTACAGGGAGGCACTCCTGTCTGGTGTGCTGGTGTTAATGCACATTATATCTGGGCGGTCCGCAACGGAGTAGTAGGCAGATGTTTACGACCGTTGCGTTTGACTAGAACACCTCAGACGCCTGCACGGGAGAGAGGTGACTCTCGGCTGCGTGCAGCGGTCCTTCCACTACTTGGAGCCCCGTGCTGGGACGACAGGTCTCCACGGGTGACATACGTGCTGACCTGAGATGTAGGTACCCAACACTTCAGTCGACACCCACCGCAATGCCGGCTTCGGCGCCATCTAGACAAAGCCGTAGGTTGTTTTTACGAGTTACAGTCGACAAGAAAGTTACGCGCTAAATTTGGCGTGGCAATCCGCACCGTGCGGCGAGGCGCGTGCAAACCGGAGGCAGGAAGAATATGTGCAAGGGGGGACGAGACTATGGGGGTTGGACCGGTCTCACTCTCTTTGTCGCGGTGTGTGACACCCGGAGTTGAGCTGGAGGTAAAACTTGGGACCTTCTTCGGACTGGTACTTGGTGGACAGTGACTTCTGTCACGACAATGGACCGAGACATAGACGGTCGCTCAGTCACTGTAAGTACGCGAGAGACATGTAGGAAGTTACTTCGTGAGTCAAACGGGGCCGTTTGCTCTCACGCAACGACTTCGGGTGGGACGGAAATATGGATTCACCAACCGAGTACATGGGTAAACTGTAACACCGGTAGAAGGACGGCGGCGACACAAGGAGAACTCCTTGGTCGCGGCTTAAACGACATTGGTCAATGCCGAAATGCGTGGATATACCTGTCCAGTTTTTCTCAAAGCAACGTTACTGGTTGAGAATATAAGGACCCGATTGGGAGTCTTCCCGTCGGCAATGGATCCGTGCCGAGAGGGTTGACCAAATCACCTTGCGCTAACGAGACCGAATATGCTCAGCACCAAGAGTCGTGGTTGCCCGGAAGCACGAGTAAGATGAGCACCGATGTAGACCCGAAACAAGTTCCCACGCAAAGGTAGGTTCTATAAACCACGTCGTCGCTCGACCACGAGGGCGAGTGAAAGAACAGGCACAGAACTGTCGATCTACGAAGACGAAGGGTTACACCGGCGCGTCGACGCGGACCGGGACACAACTCTGTCCAAGAGGACATCAAGACCAAAAAAACGCGACTAAAAGGCGCTCTATGACTTCGTACAGATCGTTAATGCCCTCAAAGTAAGGGTATCACTCCTGTAGCTGTGCCTCAATACTTACTCTTGATATTCCAAATGAATGCATTGGGGTCAAGAGTTCATTGTACTTCACGCTACAGAGTGGTCTGCCGGGAAGAACGATTCCGCTTTCGCTCGTCTCCACGAATAAAACCTTACTGCGACGCAGCATGCGCGTTCGATGAATATCCCACCTCACCTAAGGGACTCATCTGCAGTTCTAGTGGTCGGTTAGCCTACCACATTACTTCTAACTACGAAGACAAACGGTATGCGCAACTCCGCGTAGGGGATCCTCTGTAGAGTGAGTACAATGAGACTCTTGACCCCAATGCATTCATTGGGATATCAATATAAAACTATGAAATCATCCCCTTGCGAGGTACAACACGTCGGGTTGTATCATACCGATATTTCGGTAGTACACGTCACTAAATCCGGTAATGCGTATTTCTTCACCACGTCGACACACGTGACACCCTGAGCATTATGTAATGTACATTTCGTACCAAATTTTTCAGATTGCGATCTTAAGAGAAGTATAAGGTCATAACCAAGATATAAAAAGTTGAACTTAGGGAAAAAGTGCAAGACATTACGCGTTTATACGTCAGGACGGTGGTAAAAGTAAAGTGTGGTTTGTCATGGGGACTTCCGAAGCCAACCTCGACCATGGAACAAGTCGGAAACGACAAAGTGAGTTATTAAAGGAGCACGAGTAATGAGGTTAAGGACTTTAGTCGTACCTTTACGGAGTCGACCGTTAATCACGAAATTACCGACACTAATGGGGGCACGAGAGGGGATCGTACATGAGTCTAAGTAGTGATCTGTCTCAAAAAGGCGACACGGCGTCGGGTCGTAGGGATGTAAGTTCGATTAATTACTGAGATGTCATCGACCCACGACCTCAGGAGGGTAGGAAGGTCGTGCACCGACTCTCCTCGGAGGCACCGAAGATTAAGTACACGACTGCGAGTGTTTGAGAGACTTCGGACCTCCCCTTCACAATACCTTACGTTCACCGAAAGTAACTATATGTAGTGTATCACACGTCGTATTAGACGTAAGTCGTACAGGTAGACTCTCTGTTCAATAACCCTCCCAGACCAATCTCGTCTTGTGGTTACACAACCGACTCATACTCTTAACTTATAGTGAGCACGGATATCTGGTCCAATAGCTCTTACGTCCAATATCGTGACTGTGTTCGATAAAAAGTACATCAATAAAATTTAACACGGAAGTAAACATCTCTGAAACCGATGTTATGTACTGAGACGACGACTGTCTGGCACGGTAGTTGTTCTACTAGGGTAGTTCGAGTATTAATCTAAACGTAGTTAGTACTACATTATAGCGAGTACTACACGGGTAAATGTATGTGTCATTAAGGATTTCTAAGTTTCCCAAAATTAAACAGGGGGTATGCACGTTTTTCGATGCGTCACATCTTTACCTTACTTTAGTAAGCTGGACTTCGAGGAAGGTTGTTACGTTTGTATGATTCCCCAAGGCGCCCAGAATTTTTCATTAATTTGTCACTAGTTAGTGAAATCGCTTTTATTCCGATAATTTTTCATAATCTTGTGTAAGGTTCCATAATTTCCAGGTGTCGATTGTGTCTGTTGTCTTTGTGGGGAAATTAAATGACTTGCTGTACAGCCCTTTAGGGGGAGGTTCCGTCGGGGTTACGAATCACGGGTCGATCTGGCGAGACACCCCCCCCCACCCTCAGACAGCTTTACCCCTAGTTTGCGACAGGCCAGGGTGTGACGATTCACAATCGGTCTTTCGGCGCCGGAAATTCAGGCTGAGAGCGACTACCGGTTAAGGCACGGAGGGGACAGACGTGCAGCGACTCGTGTGTGGCGACGTGACTCGAGAGACGTGCCTCCTGGCGCGTCCCTCGGCGCCTCCTCGACGCTCAGGCCCGCTGACGACAGGAGGTTCCTTCTCTGTGTACAAGTGCATTCGGTTTGATATAGGCCAGTGTCTTAGCGATATAAATTCATCCAGTTGTTATAGCTGGCGATTATATGTCAGGATATAATTTTTGCTCTTTTAAGAATTGTATTATAATAGCAAAAAACATTTGTATACTGTTTACACACTCCCAGACTACTGCAGTCTCGTAGCGAGGTACACGGACCGAGAATCTGTCGGGCCGGGTTAAATTGGGGACCATAAAGACACACCTCGAGGATATACTAATGGGGCGACTTCGAGTGGTTCAAATTTATGATAAAGTAGTCAAGTTTCAAAACAGTTAAACCAAAACAAATAACCAGTTTATGACCAAAGACTCCTCAAAATGACCTTACTTTCCTCGTGTCTCAGATGTGTNGGCTTTTACAGAAGGGATATTGGATATCTCTTTTTATCACTCCATAAATCAGAAAATACTGTCAACAGCCCTAAAATATCAATTCTTGCCATGTTTTTACTAAAAACATGGCAAGAATTGATATTTTAGGGCTGTTGACAGTATTTTCTGATTTATGGAGTGATAAAAAGAGATATCCAATATCCCTTCTGTAAAAGCCTTAGATACTAATATGACTACAAAATGAAACAAGAATTTTGAACCTGGCTTTATCCAAAGTTCAGATTTCGATTCCTGAAATGTGTTAAAATATGCACATATTTGATGAGATAATGGCTAATGTGCATATTTAAACATGCTATTTCAGAAAACTTTTAATACAAAAGACAATTGCCTTATTGTAAGTAATTAACTTGAGAAATCTCTAGCTGATACCTTTAAGTTACAAAAATGACCCTATTCACCTGGGGTGTCTCGCCTTAAGCCAGAAAAAAACAAAGATTTTATAGACGTTGAATTGGCTTCGTAGTACAGGCCTCAGATCATGATTTCGGGAAATACATTTTTGTTTAGCTTTTCAAATGTATTTTTTTCGCACATTGAGCACCAAAAGCCTGATGCCATTTACTTCCATTGTATTTGAGATGGCAGACTTCTATATGCTGGATATCTTAATCACTCAGCTTCTCACACCGAAACATCCAGATTGATAAATAGTGCTACAGGAGAGAAAAAGCATAAAGTATGTGTGTCATTTTGATTGGGATTTAAACCTGCGTGGTGTGTGGGGTATGCCAGAAAATCAACAAAAAACATCTGCAATCAAGACTAAAGATATCCATGACCTTTGCCTTAGATAAATACTGCTCACCATCTGTCACATAAAGATAGCCTAGGAGGATGCAAAAATAAAAGAAGTTAAACATTCATCAATTATTTCTAGCAAAAGGACACCTAACAAACGGTCCCTTGGGAGGATGATGTGCACCAACTCTTTAGAAACAAAGATAGTCTGACAGAGCCATCTTCCAGCAGGGGCAGTTATCCATCAGACATTGGAATATGCTCACAGCTGAGCTTAAAACCTACTCATTCACTCTTTTTCCCATGGTGCAAAGAAATGGATATTGGGCAATCAGTGTTGCCAACAGGAATTGTACTGTAATTGGAGATGTTAATATTGTAGTAAATGTATCATTAAGTCTCTCTTGATTTTCCCACAGTTTGAATTCACAGCTAACCATTTTTACTTCCTTAAAACAGACAGAAGGCTGTCTTTTAAACTATTGTTAGGATTGATATTACGTTTGTAATGTATGCACATTTCAACCATCTGGCCAACACTTCCTGTAATGTATTTTGCTTTGCTAACACCTTCCCCTGTCCTTGCTTTTGAGTGTGTAAAGTGCTTGTATTTTCTATTGTATGTGGTCAGATGTAGTAATAATTAGCTTGTGCTAGATTCTGTTCTTTTAGCTGAAATAGATTAACTCTGTTAAATGCTTTGACTTTTTTGACTTTATTAAATAACAAAACGTTGCTTTAAACTTCTATTATTTGTTCATTTCTTAACAAAAGGGTTGCTTTTGTGTGGAATTTCCTCCACAGTTAGTTTAAATGAATTGTAAATTATAGATATATTGACAAATGTACAAGTATTTATATTTGATATATCTGTGTTTCCATTGTAAGTGTGATCATGTTTGTTGATTTGTATGTGTTCCTGCCCATAATCTGTCAAGGCAAGGCAAGGC